ACCTAATAAGTAAAAAGTAAGAGAAGTCATCAAGGGAAGTTGATATCGGTCCAGGGGCCAGCAGATCAAAGGGAGGAGAGTAAAAAACCTGAAAAGTGCTCTGTAGGGATAGGAGGATTCCCACTTCACCTCCCTTCTGTCCACTAGGTCTAGGGGAGCGAGTCCAGAGCAGGCCAGCATGGAGAGGGAAACAGGAGAAACAGTTTTGGACTCATGAAGCCAGATGTTGGCAACAGCAAGTAGTTTAAAGGATTTAGTGACAAAGAGGTCATGGACAGAGGTAAGTTTGTTGCAGACAGAGCAGACATTCCTGAGGGTGATTCATACAGGTTTTGGGATGGAGAAGAGGGGTTAATGAAACAAGGTGGAAAGAGAGAGGACACCTGTGACAGATTAGAGAATTAGTGTTAGGGATCCGGGTATGACCAGAAATGTGTGGGAACACAGGTGTAGTCAGGGCTGGAGAGGTGGAATGGTCAGGAAGGCCGTTTGGTACTGTTAAGCACCGCCTGGCGGCGTCTCTAGCAGCCCACAGCACGGGGTTCCTCAGGGCGCGGGGTCTAAGTCCCAATCTGCTTATTCACCAGGGCCCCTGATGGTGGGGATGGACTAGGAGCAGACTGAGACCAGGTCGCAACCCCTGAGTATGTCCGGCAATGGTAGAGAGCGTCGTCAGAGGTGTGCGGGGAAAGGAGCCTGACGTGAAGAGGCTGGCAGACCTGGTAACAGGGATAGATCCGTGAGGGATGGATCATCTGGGTAGCATAAGGCGTAGTCAGGCAGGCCAGGTCAGCAACATGCGGGCAGCAAGGTACCGGAGGAGCAGGCAGAGAATGGTCAGGGTCACAAGTCGGGTTCAGTAACTCACAGACAGCTCGGTACAGAGGATCAGGCAGAAGGATGGTCAGGCAAGCCGGGGATTAAACAAGAGATGGTCAGCAGGGTCAGGAACAATGCAGAGGTCAGCAACAGAAGATTCACAGGATACCAGGTACAGGGGCTCATGGGAAACAAACACCAAGGCACTGATTGCAGGCCTGGTCCTGCTTAAATAGACCTCCTGCAATCAGCCTCAGATGATGGCTTGATTGCAGGAGTGAGATCCTGGCTGCTGAAAGCACCCTCTGGTAAGAGCTGGTACTGCAGCCCACAGAGCAAGTGAGCCACAGCACCATCAGTGGTGAGTCCATAACTGACAGTTAGTTGTAAATAAAGATTAGAGAATAAATGCTAGCAGTACATTCAGGGATAATTTAAGGTTTAGTGTATATGTAAGTATTTTTAGGTACATTAAATTTAGTTTAAGGTTAATGTTGAGTAGAAGGAATAAGGTTAATGTGGTTCTACAGTCTCAATTTTTTTTGTTTTTTCCTGTACTCTATGCATGAAGGTTAAAAACCTGAGGAGAGAGTGGGGGGCGAGCTGTGACTCCAGGCCCAGACTAGCCATAGGGCACACCAGGCACATTTGCCCGGTGGGCCGGGGCCATATGTCCTAGGAACAGCGGCCTGTGGGTGACCTAGCCACACAGCGGGAGGTAAGTGGCGGCCGCTGACTGGACAGGGTTAACACGGACTGCGGCCGCTGCTCGTTTCCCACTATGCGACCATGCCTACAGAAGAGCTGGTTCAGGCACACTACGGGGTGCAGAAGAAGACCTGCTAGCAGGGGACACACACCCCCAGGCTGGCCACTGGAAATACACTGCACGAGACCATGGTGGGATTTCACCTAACCATGACAGCTGCACAGGGGAGGAAGGTGAGTACAGGGCAGCCACACATCCTGCTCTGTGGCAGTGGTGTGTGTGTGTAGGGGGTCGATTGTGTTGTCTCTTTGCTGGATTAGGCCATCTCCTTGCTACATAGAGCTGTCTCGGGCTGTCTCTTTGATATATGGAGCTGTCTCTTTGCTGGATTGGACTGTCTCTTTCCTGGATTGGGCCGTCTCTTTGCTATATGGAGTTGTCTCTTTGATGGACGGGGCTGTCTCTGCACTGAATTGGGCTGTCTCTTTGTTATATGGAGCTGTCTCTTTGCTGGATGAGGCTGGTACTTTGCTGGATTGGGCTGTCTCTTTGCTATATGGAGCTGTCTCTTTGATGGATTGGGCTGTCTCTTTGCTGGATTGGGCTGTCTCCTTGTTAAATGGAGCTGTTTCTTTGATTAATGGGGCTGTCTCTGCACTGGATTGGGCTGTCTCTTTGCTAAATTGGACTGTCTGCTGGATTGGGATGTCTTTTTGCTGGATTGGGCCATCTCTTTGCTGGACTGGGTCATCTCCTTGCTATATGGAGCTGTCTCTTTGCTGGAATGGGCTGTCTCTTTGTTGGATTAGGCTGTCTCTTGCTGGAATGGGCCATCTCCTTGCTTTATGGAGCTGTCTCTTTGTTAGATTGGGCCATCTTCTTGGTATATGGAGCTTTCTCTTTGTTGGAATGGGAGTTCTCTTTGTTGGATCAGGATGTCTCTTAGCTGAATGGCACTGTCTCTTTGCTGGAATGCGCCATCTCTTTGCTATATGGGACTGTCTCTTTGGTTGAGGGGGCTTTCACTTTGGTGGATGGGGCTGTCTCCTTGCCCTATGGGGATGTCTCATTGCTGAATTGGGCTGCCCCATTGCCATATGGGGATGTCTCTTTGCTGGATTGGGTTGTCTATTTGCTACATGGGTATGTCTCTCTGCCGAGTTGGGATGTCTCTTTGCTATATAGGGACCTCTCTTTGCTGGATTGGTATGTTTCCTTGCTGGATGGGGATGTCTCCTTGCTGGATGGGGATGTCTCCTTGCTGGATGGGGATGTCTCTTTTCTAGATGGGGATGTCTCTTTTCTAGATGGGGATGTCTCTTTGCTGAATTAGGATGTCTCTTTGCTGAATATATGGGGATGTCTCTTTGCCAAAGGTAGAACTGTGCAGGGGAGGCAGAGAGTAAAAGGGGCACTCTGACTAGAGAGAAAAGGGGGGCATAACTGCAAGGGGCACTGTGATGTGGGGGGGAGGGCTGTGATTCTGTGATTGCTAGGGGCACTGTAATGTAAGGGGGACTGCACTGTAAAGGGGCACTGTAATAAAAACAGTGCCCCTTTACAGTGCAGTCCACGTTTATATCACAGTGACCCTTTACATCACATTACAGAGGACCCAGACTCCATGTACATCCCATCACCAGCCAACCCGACAAACAACCACCCACCATCCCATTCCACGCATACACACACCCTGGTCCCTTGGCTGCTCAGTTTAAATGCCCGGGCCTATTTTATGTCCCAGTCCAGGCCTGGGTCCAGAGGAGCCAGAAGTACAATCGGGGACCCGAAAAGAAGTTGTTCACATGTGGTATTCCCATACTCTGGAGAAGTAGAAGAATGTATTTTGGGGAGTAATTCCACATATACCCATAGCATGTGTGAGCAATATATCATTTAGCTGACAAGTTTGTGTAAAAAAAAAAAAAAAATGTTTTTTTCATTTTCCAAAAACTTGTGGTAAAAAATAAATTCTATTGACTCAACATGCCTTTTAGCAAATAGTTGGGAGTGTCTACTTTCCAAAAAAGGGTCATTTGGGGGGATTGTGCTATCCTCGAATTTCAGAGCAAGAAAAAGTGTGTGGTATGTCCATCATTAGAATATAACTCCCTGCATCCACTCATTTCTAATGTTGGGCATACATGAAATGTTGTTTTTATTCAATAAGCTCGTTGTGGATGAAGAAATCTCTGCCAAAATTTTTTTTTAAAATATTTTCTGAAGAGTGATCCACCCACTGGCCACCCCAGGGCCTCATGCTTGTTCTTTTTTAACTGCAGATGAAAGATCTCATCCAACAGTGCCGCTCACACTGACATATATTTTGAGAGTACAACCTGTTGGTGTCAGAATAAACAGATCGATGCTACAGCTGAATGGCATTCCTGCAACGAAAACAACAATGGTAACAATAAAACAGTAACTCAATAAAATGACAACTATTTTTGTTTGTATTTTATTTTTTTTTACTTTTTGTACGTTTTTTTACTTATTTTTTTTAACTTTTTTTAAAAACTGTAAACTCCAGATGTTAGAGTCTGGACTACCTAACATCTTTTGAGACCCTGTGTGCTCTGGACTGTGCCATGCTGTATCCTATACTAATACTTCACTGCTGTGTGGTAGCGACAGAAACAGTCCTTGAGGCAGAGACCAGGTTGGCCAGTACAGGAGGGACAAAAAAAAAAGCAGGTGTCACACCTAATTCCGTGTCTGCCACAGACACGACATCTTTTTTGGGGTGACTTTTTTGGGATAAGATACCAGGAATGGCATCGGAAAATGCCTCTCATGCAGCCGGCTCACTGCATCTGGGTTGGGGGTATGGGTCACAGCAGCTTCTGGATACAAAAGGGCCATGATCTCTTCCTTGAATTTTGGGAAGGATCCACTTTATCCAGTTGCTTTGTAAATCACAAAAGCGTTGTACAGAGCCAACTGAAATAAAAATGCAGACACTTTTTTGTATCAGCATCTGGCTTTACGGGGAAACTAAGTACAGCTTTATCATCTGGTCATTGAAGTCCACCCCTCCCATGTAAAGGTTATAGTTGTGGACACAGAGAGGCTTCTCAACAACACCAGCTGCCGTGGAAATTTGGATGGTCGTGCCTGCATGAATGGAAGACAAGATTTGAACATCCCGTTTCTCCTTCAACTTCACTGTGGAGTCTACCATATTCAGAGTCACCCAGAGGATGACAGAGTGTATTGTCATTGAAATGTATAAATCGCATTATATTCTCATATCTATGACTGACCATGGCAGCAGAGAACATGGGCATATGATAAATTGGGTCTGTGGACCAATACAACCGCAATTCATTTTTTTTAGTAATGCCCATGTTGAGGGTTAGGCCCAAAAAAACGTTAAATTTGGAAACCGTAATAGGTTTCCATGCAAATGGTCTGGCAAGTTTTGAATGTGGGTTGGTGGCAATAAATTGTTGTGCATATCAGGGGCGGACTGACAACTCATGGGGCCCCTGGGCAATAGGGGATCATGGGGCCCCTGTGTCCTTGCCTATACTCAAAAAAGCCTATGAAAAAGGTACCAGGGGCATCTCATGGGGCCCCCTACTGACCCCTGGCCCTCGGTTAGTGCCCGAGTTTCCAAATGGTCAATCCGCCTCTGCTTGTGGCTTCACAGCTGGTTTCCATAAGTAAGTTTCATAAGTAAGCGTTGAATAAATATCCATGCGTAATGGCTGATTAATGTTAATAAGATATAACTTGTCTCATATTTTATCTTACATAGCATTAAATTCTCTCTTTAATAGTCAGTATAAAGTATTTCTTAAAACGGAATTACACCCAAAAGGTGAAGTTCCACTTTTCCACCTCCCTCTCTGAACAGAATGTTCACCTCCCCCCTTTGCCTGCAGCCTTCTGGGACACATCGCAGGTCCCAGGAGACTGCGGGATAATTCACAAAGTGCAGCACAGCTTGCACATGTGCAATGGGAAACTACCTTGTGGCCAGGGGCAGACTGACAACTCATGGGGCCCCCGGGCAATAGGGGATCATGGGGCCCCTGTGTCCTTGCCCAAACTCAAAAAAGGCTATGAAAAAAGGTTCCAGGGGCATCTCATGGGGCCCCCTACTGACCCCGGGCCCTCGGGCAGTGCCTGAGTTTCCAAATGGTCAGTCTGCCCCTGGTGCATATAAATTGCTTTGATCCTCAATCAATCCATATAGATCTTCCGTGAAAAAAAGCTCCAAAAAATCATGGGGAGTAGGTAAATTTTTTATTTCCAACTGAACTCTGGGTTGGGCAATGAATGGGAAAGAACGGGTGCTGCAGAATTTGTGGGCTGCCAATCAGGATTTGCAAGCACATCTAGAGGGACACTATGGGTCCTATGGGCCTGTGATTGAATTCTTGGTGACTGTGGGACACTACTTGTGCTAGCCACTGCACCAGCTTGTACTGAACTTATGGGACTCGCCTTGTCACTAAGTGATACTGCAGTGCTGTTATGTAAAAAAAAAGGATGTACTAGGCCACTGGTGCTCATCAGTTTACCAAAAGGTAGAGTGGCATTAGTACTGGCACTCTGCTGCATATAAGAATCATCATACAATTGTACCACCTCAACAACCTTGGAATAGGGTCGGGTACGCCTGACCTTAGCAGGGACCTCTATTCCATTTTCTGAGCTATATGTCAGGGTGCCACTGCTCTCTACAGGTTTGAATTCTGAGCCGGATTCTGTCAGTGAGGCTTCCCCTTCACTCTCATCTGACATTCTCAGAATCCTGTAGACCTCTTCACTGGAGTACCTTTTGTTGGACATTTTGGTCACTAAATTTCTCTTTCAATAACTTTTTATTAAGGATTTAACAGAATACAACGAATAGCCATCAACAATGGCAGTAATGAGTAACATAGGATAACAAAAGACAAGGAGCCCATAATGAATGCAAAGGGGTTCATACAATCAAAGGTCTGGTTATAACACCTAAATTCAAAATAAAAGCTAAAGCAAACAAGGGTCAACATCCCCTAAGCATCACTTAATAGTCTCCCTAAAAGGGAACCACTGGTACTAGATATCTCAGGTGTTTGCTTCAAACACTCCTTTTTACTGGTAACAGACTACCAGAAAGAAGGGAGAAAAAAAAAAAAAAAGAGGAGAAGAAAAAGAGTCAGAGATGCTCCATGCCCTAGCAGTAGTCATCTTTGCTTCCAGTATAATAAAGAAAATCAAGATGTCGAGGGGCATCCTTCACTCCTGCATTAAGCAAGGCCCCTGATGGGGTCTGAGGAATAGATAGCCCCGTAACTCTATGTAAAATAGCAAATACGCCATTACAAAAGCCTCTTAGCCGTGGACATTCCCACCATACATGAAACATGGATCCAGTCATGCCACAACAGAGAGGAGAGGATGATGGATACATGTTAGCTAGCCGTATGGGAACCAAGTCCCAACAGGTAATTAGTTTAACATTAGCTTCTATCAAAGATACATTCATAATACCAGAGTATGATCTTAAAAAATGTTTGTGCCAAACCTCAACCTCGATCTCCTCCCCAAGATCTTTTTCCCAGGCAAACATATAAGAAAATTTGGAAGGAGAAGTCAGTAGCAGTCCATATATGACTGAAATACCTCCTCTCTTGCCAGTGTCATGTGTGCACTATTTTTCATATGGAGAGACCTTGTATTGTTCCTACTGATTGGGTATGAACGACTGCAAAAAATACGAGATTTGAAGAAAATTAAACCGTTCGGTTTGGGGCATTTATAAAACCTTGACACAATAGTGTAACCTAAAGGACCCTCTATGGGAAAAAAACTGTCCAATCCAATATAGTCCTTTGTTGAGCCACCATTTAAATGCCTTAATATCCTGTCCCTGTGGAAAGTTTGGATTATTAAAAATACGGGCTAGTGGAGAAAATGGGGAGACCAATGCATAGTTAGCCTCGAGCCTGTCCCAATGTGAAACCGACTGGGAAAGGGTCAAAGCCAATATTGGCGGACGATTCCGAAGGGGACACCAAAGCAAATAGTCTAGTGTAAACCCTGGGAATGCCATTCTGTCCATATAGACCCAATCTGGTTTATCCCTTCTCCTGTAGACCACTGAAAGTTGGGACAATTGATCTGCCTGATAATACCTATAAAAGGCTGGGAGTTCCAGCCCACCCCTGATCTTGAGACAGAAAAGGACCTTTTTAGCAAAGCGACAGCCCTTATTACCCCAAAAAAATCGAATCACTGAATATTGGAATTTCTCCAATACTGCACGTGGAATAGGAATGGGTAGAGACCGGAAGTAATATAGAAGTCGTGGGAGCAAGGTCATTTTAACAGAATGCAGTCTGCCCAGCCAGGAGAGAGAATGAGCTGACTACTACTGGAGATCTGCCTCAAGCTTAAGAAAAAGTGACAGATAATTGGATCCATACAGAGATTCTATATTGGATGTCAGCTGTACACCCAGATACGGGATATGAGAATCACTCCACTCAAAGGAATCCCTAGTCGGGCAAGCAATCCTGGTGGGACAGAGACATTCAGAGCCAACGACTTGGTCATATTAACCTCTAAACCCAACAGCCTGCCAAACTCTCGTAATAAGCGTATTACCTTAGGGGTGGAAGTCAGTGGAGAAGTCAAAAACATCAGAAGGTCATCCGCAAACAGTGCACACTTGTGTTTTCTGTGGGCCACAGCGTACACCTCAAATATCGGGATCTGACCAAATTGCCACCGTGAGAGTTTCAATAGCCATAGCAAAAAATAAGGGAGATAAAGGGCACCCTTGCTGTGTACCCAGAGCATTCATGATCGACTGAGAATACTGTCCCTGTAAGTGAACCTGTGCTAATGGGGAAGAATATATAGCCTGTAGTATATTTAAAAAATGTGGGCCGAACCCCCAAACTTCCAGAATCCTGAAAAGGTAGGGCCAGGACACTGTGTCAAAGACCTTCTGTAAGTCTATGGATAATATAAACCCTTCCTGGGGGGGGGGGCACTATCCCATTGGGATCGCAGCAGGGATACCACATCAATCACTCTACAGATCTGGTCTGGTCCCTGTCTACCTGGTATGAACCTGACATGATCCTTGTGTATATATGCGCCTATGAACGTGGATAGGCGATTAGCTAAGATTTTGGTCAGGAGTTTCAAATCATTATTGATTAGCGAAATAGGTGTATAGTTATCCACCTCTCCAGGTTCCTTAGCTGCTTTAGGGACCACAGTAATATAGGCCGTGTTCAGAGAGGGGTCTACAGATTCCCCATCCTGTATGGAATTAAAAAAATGAGGGAGAGCGTGGGAGCAAATTATTTATAATATAGCGAAGAAAAGCCATCTGGGCCCAGGGCAGAGCACCTCTTGTCAGATTTATTTGCCCCAATAACCTCCTCCCTGGAAATAGAGGCATTCAGCTTAGCCCTGTGGGCCATTGTTAAATGGGGTAAAGGTAAATACTGCAAAAAGGCATCAACTGCCTCCCTGGAGACTGAGGATCCCAACTGATATAACTTGGAGTAGAACACATTAAAAGTGTGGTTTGAAGATAATACCCCTCGGTGACCCATCTGCCTGAGGTGGTTGCAAAGCTCAATGTGCCCTATCCACCTCCAGCTTGTGGTCAGCGGTCGTGGAGAGGAGGCCTTTCAGGAATTCTTGGACTACTGCAGGAGTGTCCTTCACAGTTTCAGGGAGCCCACTGATTCTGAAATAATAGCTCCTGGATTGGTTTACCAAATCATCAATTTTGGCAAAGGCAGTCTCTTGCTGATCCTGGAGATCTTGGATGCGTGCTGTATTCTGGTTTATTCTGGCCACTGTCATATCCATCATATTCTCAATGGTATCAATGCGGGAGCCTAAGCCCTGCAAGTTCACCTTAATATCTGTAGGAATCTGCGAAAGCATCTTAGTCAGACCTTTACCCAGCAGGTCAGAAAATCTGGAGAACATGCTGGTCATATCCATGCTGCAGGGGGTGTCAGAACCCCCAGCTGGGTCAGGCGGGATAGGGCTGAAAGGCCTGCACTGAGAGAGCCAGATTGTCCATGGCATGATCAATGAGAGACTCCATAGAAGCTGGTGAATCTCTACGTAAAGTAGGGGTACGCACATGAGTGCTTTGGATATCTGGTATCTCCATCAGGCCTTCCTCTTCCTCACCCAGCAAGCGAGGAGACAGACCGCATGGCTGTAGGTCCTGGCGCCATCTTGGAAGTCCCGGCTTGAATCGAGCCCGCTGACCGATGGCAGGATCGCATCCTTCGCTCCATCTCCCCAAATCCCAATCTGTGCTAGGGCTCTCTCCCAATCCCCAGACCCACTGGTGAGCTCAGAATGAGGGCTGTGGGCACTGTGGCTGGATATCATTGGGCGGCCTGGGACAGAGCTCTTGGCTTACGTGGCCATCTTGGAGAGCTCCGTGCATGTGCCACCCCTGGCCACTAAATGTATAGGTACCTAGTGTGACTCATGGGAAAAAGAGCACCTGGCTATCAGGGACTGCTTGAACTGCTACAAAATGTGTACCTGCTAGTGCTAGCACGGATTAGGCCTGACCTTGCTAACCCTGCAGTTTTGTGTACAATGTATCAAGTGACAGTAATCTACTGACACTGCACTTGCTGGGGGGGGGGGGGGGGGATTAAGTATGGGGGCTAAATGCATGTGCTGGCAGGTTGGTGGCGGGGCTGATCCTGCTAACACTGTATTTTTGTTGACGGTATACTATTGTGAACGCTGGTATAGTTCTACTCTGATCAAAGATATTGATCCGTTTAGACACTATACTAGCAAAGGAGGTTTGTGTATGTGAGCGTGTTTCTAGCATTCAAATGGTTAAATGTGATGACTGATGTGATAGTGACAGGCAATCTGATGCAATCTGGTAGGGATGCTAACTGACGCTAACTGATGTTAACGCTATCTGAAGTCACCAGTGACACTAATACAGTGATCAGTAAAAAATCTGTACACTGTAATAATGACACTGGTGACAGGGCAGTAAAGGGATAACTGGGGGGCATCAGGGGGTTAAATGTGACCTAGCTGTGCTTTTACTGTAAAAGTGTGCTGCTTGGACTCAGGTGGATCTGCTTTCTTCTCTCTCTGGAAATGAATGTGCTCTAGGGAAAGAAGATTGCATTGCATTGTATTGCATTTCCTGTGT